CATGCCGTGAATCGCCTGAAAGTAAATGGGGATGTAGTAGGTAAAGAGGAAATTTGCTCCCGATTGGCTGTTAACAAACGGTTAGTACCACAACGAAAAATCTGCACCCTATTTTAATGTAGGATGGAAGAAAATAATAGACTTACAAAAAGACAAAAGCGCAGATTCCAGCGATGATTTTCGTCTTGAGAATTCGCGGCACAATCGACGCCCTCTCGCCTTGCCAGACTTGGACGCCAATAAAACAGAAAACAAACAGACCAAAACCAACAAACATGCCAATGACTTCAGACGAGTCCCACGTCATGGAAGTGCCGGCAATTTGCATGTTGATCAGGAAACAGACCAACGCGCCAATGATGAGCGCCGCACCGGGAAGGTCTAGCTGGGCAACCTTCTCCTTGAGCGTGGCCGGCACAGGTTTCGCGCGGCCTGGAACTTGAAAAAAAATGGCTATTATAGCAAAAGCCACAGCTCCGATGGGAAGGTTAACGTAAAAGCTTTTTTGCATGCTTTGTTAGCGAATGGAGAGCCTAGAAGTCCAACTTGAAGGTGCAGGTGCTTTGACTTACCACCAGCGCCATGAGGCCTTGTCAGTAAAGACACCTCCTAGAAGTGGCCCTATCACGCTCGCGGTGCCATAGGATGTTCCAACAAGTCCAGTATATGCAGGTGCCTTGTGTGGAGGAGCCACAAAGGCAATCAGAGTATAGCAACCTCCAACGAGGCCCGCTGCTCCCCATCCTGCGATCGCTCGGCCAATGATTAAAGCAGTGCTGTTCGGTGCGACTCCTGTAAAGTTTTGCAGCGTTAGCTTGGAAGATTGTATTTCTTTGACTTGTTGGTTTCTTTCGCAATGGACGTTTTGAAGTGGATTGTCATACCGCATATCAAGCTTCCAACTTCAAAAATGAGTCCGGCGGTGAGAAAGGCAAGCTTCAAGTTAGTGTACTTGTACAGTTTACCCCAAGTGGCTTGAAAAGTCGCCAGCGTCAGGAAAAACGCCGAGCCATACCAGCCAACTTGGTCTAGGGATTGAAATTCGTCTGTAATTCGAGGAATTGCCGTTGCGACGATTGTCTTTAACAAAGAACCGAGTTAGTTGTGAGGTCCATGGCTGGATGTTGAACATGCTGACCATGTCCAGGGCCACCTAGAATGACAACAGTGAGTTAACTTGAGGATGCCTAGTTGATTTTGCCACGTACCAGAAAAATGGTCAATACCAGCGCCACCACAATCATCGCCAGTCTCATACCGCTAGAGTATTGCTCTGTCTCTGCTGGTGGCGATACATCGCCGTCCGGAATTTTTTCACTTGTTGAGGCGGCCATTCCGGATGATTGCAAACTTGTCATTGTGCTGCGGTTGTGGGCTTGTGCCCGTAAAAGGCGACCTTGGAGGGCAGTTTCAGTTCAGGGTAACAAGCTTTTGGCCGACGCCAGCAAAGACAATACACAAGAAATAAAATAAACTAAGAAGCTGAAACACAATCATCTGAACGGGTCAGCAAACCCAAGCTTGCACCGCAGTAAATCTTGGCGGCTGATTTACAGGCACGACATTCAGCTCCAAGTTCCGCTCGAGACCTAGAGCCGGCGATGCTGACCTTGCATTATTATATTGCTGACAGGAACGGCGATCTTTGGTTTGGGTGGTGGGGGTGTAGGGGGTGTAGGGGGTGTCGTTAAAACGGCAAGTAAGATTCGGCAGCTCGCGCTGAGAGCAATTATCGAGTCGTAGCATAGGAGTGTTGGCTGGTATCAAGTACTAGTTACAAGTAATAGTTGAAATACTTTAGCAGAGCTACTGTAGTCTTGAGCCTCTCAAAGAAAGCGACACTGCAAAGTCCACGGCCATTGATGGCCATAGAGACGACGATGAGGTTCCGAAAACTGGTGCCGTTTCTGACCGCACTACAGCTAGTGCATGCTGTGCCGAGTAACCGGCACGCCGATGCTTCTTTTTCCTGCAAATGCACGCCATCAGAGTCGTGTTGGCCAACTCCAGCCATCTGGAGCAAACTCAACCATACAATTGACGGGAGGCTCTTCGCGACCGTTCCTCTGGGATCGCCATGCCACGGACCGTCGTTTGACGAGAACAAGTGTGCAAGCATCAAGGAGCAATGGCGTTTTGCGCCAATCCAGTACGCATCGTCCTCTTCGCTTACAACCAAAACGTTGCGCAGGGAACGACTTTATTAACACTTTCGAAACAGCGCGAATGACCCAACTTCTCCCATGGTGCCCATTTTCCAGAACCACACCTGTGATCCGTTCCATCTTTCCAGCATACCCTGTAATAGAAGCAACCTGGTTGAATACTATGTCAACGCCTCAAAGCCTATGCATGTCCAGGAAGCCGTCAACTTTGCCAGGGACAACAATGTCCGCCTTGTTATCAAAAACACTGGCCATGACTTCCTCGGCCGCAGCACTGGCAAACACGCTCTGGGTATATGGACGCATTATTTAAACGAGACGACTGTCCTGCCGTCCTATAAGGGATCTACCTATTCCGGGCCTGCTCTCAAGATGGGTGCCGGAACGCAAGCCTCTCAGGCATACAGGGACGCGCATGGTGCTGGATACCGCGTTGTCGGCGGTTCATGCCCTACCGTCGGTCTTGCGGGCGGCTACACCCAAGGAGGCGGCCACGGCGTCCTGACCTCGGCTTATGGGCTCGGCGCAGATAACGTACTTGAATGGGAGGTAGTAACAGCAGCCGGCAAGATTGTGACCGCGACGCCCACCAAGAACTCGGATCTTTATTGGGCTCTCAGCGGCGGTGGCGGCGGAAATTGGGGTGCGGTCCTATCCATGACTGTCAAGGTGTATCCCGAAGGGCCCATGTCGGGCGGAGTTTTGTCATTCAATCTCGAGCCCAATACGACCGCTGAATCATTTTGGGAAAACGTCGGCCTCCTCCTCTCTGGTTCTACTGGCCTGGTCGATTCAGGTAGCAGCATGATTGCTAGCATCACCAACTCGACAGTCTATGCCTACATTGCAGGGCCAAATGTGGATAAAAAGACTCTGGAAGACAAGATGTTCTACATGACCTCGCGACTGAATCAGTCAAGTATTTCGTACAATTTTACAATCGACACTGACCCGTCATACTACGATTATTTCAATCGCTATTTCGGCCCATTGCCTGACGGTATCTGGCCAGTAGATCACTTGATGGGGAACAAACTCCTGCCACGTTCTGCCTTTCAGTCAGCGAGCAAGATAAAAAAGTTGCGAGAGGTCGCCAAGTCCATAACCAGTGGCAATGAATGGGCCATTTCTGCGGTTGTCGTCAACGCGGCGGCATCAAATAAGTCCAGCGCTGTCCCGGCCAACGCGGTGATGCCCTCTTGGAGAAACGTCCTGGTACAGCTTACCGTCTACTCCAACTGGGACTGGAAGTCTAACCTGGAAATGTCCAACCGCAGCGACAGGCTGACAAATGACATTATCCCTAGCTTGGTTGCATTGGCGCCAGAGACTGGAATCTATGCCAACGAGGCAAATTACAGACAGGCGGACTGGAAGAAGCAGTTTTACGGCTGTACCTGGGGCAGACTGAATGATGTCAAGCGTAAATGGGACCCGTCGACTGTGTTTTATACTCCGCTGAGTGCGGGTTCACAGCTGTGGGAGGACAAGGATGGTAAGCTGTGTAGACCACATTTAGACAATCCATAGAGTATTTGTTGTGTAAAATTTGAATTTGTTGTTCTACAGAACTTTAAAAAGTTTTATAAAGTTTATTTTCTCAATTCTGCCTGTCTCGGTGTAAGCATCAGAGCAACTCAGTCAATTTACAGTTCGCTTAGGACCAGCTCAACGTATTTTATGTTATTCGATCAAAAGGGCATAAAAATAATTTAAGAGCTATAAAGAAGGTACGAGATCTAAAAAAATGTATATAAAAAGAGTATTACTATTTATATAAAACTATTTTACTATTTATATAGATATAACGCTACTACTACTAATAGGTAGAATAGACTAGATAAAGTAGCTCCTATATATTTATATATACTACGCCCCTATATATCCTATAATAGGTGCTTAATACTACATTATATATAATACCCTACTATATACTAAGAAATACTAGTAAAAAAATAATATTAATATTAACTATAACTTTTTATATAATAGTATATAAAATAAAATAAAAATCGTATTTATTTTTTTATAAATTTAAATATTTTATTATAAATTCTCTTAAGATATTATAAAATAATAATAAAAAGATTTTTAAAATAATTTATTTTAATTATTTTAAATATTAAAGTTTTAATAAATTATTTAAAATATATATTAAAATTTTATAAAATATAAAAATTAAGTTAAAAAATAAAGCTTTATATAAAATATATTATTTAATTTTTAACTTAGTATTTATATATTTATTTAAGAAAGTTCTCTTTTTTAATATTATTTTATATTAATTTTAAATAAAGTTTATAAACTTTAGATTTTTATTATTTAATATATTTATAAAAAAATAAACTTAATTATAATTATTTTATAATTTTATATTTAATAATACTTAAGTTATATTAATAATTAATAGTATATAATAAGATATTATATATAATAGTATTATATTAATATTAGTATAGTTATTATTATTTATATTAATAAGTATATACTATATATATAACTATATAAGTTACTTATAGATTTAAATAATTAAGAAAAACTAATTAATATATTATTATTATTAATAATTTTATTAGTTATAACTTATATAATTTAATAATTTTATTAACTATTAATATAATCTTAAATAAAAAGTTTATTAAGAATAATAAATTATTAGTTAATACTATTATTTTAAATATTAAACTAAATAACTTTAAAGTCTAATAAATAATAGTAATTATTTTAAATAAATTATATAATTTTTAAAATTAAATTATTAATTTAATCCTTAAATTTAATAATATATTTAACTATTTATTTATTTAATATATATTATAATAATATATTATTATTGCCTCCGTGGTACAGTGGTTCTGTACCAGGGAGTTCTATGTGGGTCAGCACATAGATCGCTGGTTCGAATCCAGCCGGAGGCACCCCTTTCTGATTCTCTGTTTCTTCCTAAAAGCCTGGTGCACCGAAAGCGAGTGACACTGTGAGGGATTGAACAGGGCACGGATCGGGGCAACCACGGGGTCCGGGTCGGCAAAAATGTCGTCGGGCGCACGCTGACCACTGCGCCACGACGGCCGTCGTGGTAACGACGTAAAATTATATATAACCATCACAGGCAGAAGAGTTAGGAACTCAGGGGGGACTTAGATATATATATAGTGGAAGGGTAAAATCAATATATCTAGTAGTGTAGGCATCTTCAGGAAGTAGAGACAGTATACGTGTGTATTAAAGGTACAGCTTAGGGACCTGCTACCGGAAAATCGTCACATAGTAACTATTAATACCTACCAGAAGTAGAAACGTTAACACAGATAGGCGCAGAGTGCAGGTTTTTATCCGGGTCAGGCATAACACGGGCGCGGTAAGGCGCCTTAACGGTAACGGTTTTTCCTATACTATTAAATTATAGAGGTACCTAATATCCTATAAGATAATAGGGGTAAATTAATAATAATAATATATTATTATTATATTTAAATAATATTATATAAATTTAGTATTATTTTTTCTTTTTTAAGTATATTTAAATATACTAATTAAATTATATTTTTTATTTATTATTAAAAGATATTAATATCTTTAAAATAACTATATATAATTTATATATATATATAATTATATATTAATAAAATATAAATTTTTATAAATACTTAAGTTATTAACTTTATTATATTATTAGATTTAGTTTTAAAAGTTATAATAAAAAATAAAATTATACTTATAATAATAAGTATAATATAAAAGAGACTATATATAGTAAAGGTCTATATTATTATATTAAATACTTATTTATATGTCTGAAGGTCTAGTTAGAGTATTTACCTTTATATAAGAATATAAAATAAGTTTTAGCCGTAGCTCACCTATAGGCTACTATACTTAATACGCTACTACTCTATATGTGAGCTAATATATGAAGTAAACTCATCCATATTTCGCGTCTGCACATACACAACGCCAGGCCCAGTGAAGCGACATACCAGGCCTTCGCCCGTCTTAAGACTGCTCATGGATCCGCCTCCAGCCTTTTCGATCTTATAGTCGCAGCTCCAGGCTACGAGATGACCGTTATCAACAATGTGCTGCTCGCCCGGTCGAAGCTAATGTTAAAACACCAGTTAGCGTAAATGTGTCAAAGGCGAAAAGGCAACCTAGCATCTTGTACATCTAGACGATCCACTGCTCCGAAACTGGTCAACCACAGTAAACCCTGCCCAGCCAGACGGTAGACAAAGATGTCCTCGCCCGAGAACAGTGATTTGCTGATCCCCTGCGCCTTGGTATCCATGACCACTTGGGGCGTGCGCGCGAGGTAGGCATCCTTGCCCACCGTCCATTGCGTGCGGCCGTCGACATGCAGGGTAATAATGTCGCCCATGAGCGTAGGGCCGAGAGCAACCGTTCCCGGCCCGGCGTATGTAGACTCGGACATTTGTCCTCCCGTCAAAAGCTTCTTCATTGAGAACTTGACGTTGCCAGTGAGCTGCACTGTGCCGGCCATGTGGATCATGGCGCCTGACTTAGAGTTTACCACCGCACCGGGCTGGAGATTGATATTGAGGATCGCATTTGTATCGCGGTGGTTGATGCTGTAAGTACCGCCGTGGAAAAAGCCACTCTCGCCTGAGGATGAGACGGGCGTGTTGTTGTGCTGCTGCTGCTGCTGCTGCTGCTGAGGATGGTAAGCCTGCTGAGGTTGGTACGACATGATAGATGCTTGGTGTGAGAATGAATGGGGTGAACGAAGCGGAGTGACGCTCCCTCTATATACATGAGCCATTACGGAGTACAATAGGCAGAAATGAAGCAGAGTGACGTCCCCTTTAAAAACACGAGTCATTATAATATAAGCAGTATAGGCTTTAATTTGCCATGCTTTTTTTAACTGGAGCTAGTAAAAATGGTCGAAATGGAGCTTATAAATACTCACCGCTTCTAAGCTATAACGTCTTATTTAAATATAGTATTATATAATACTTAGCCCTGGTATAATACGGCGACTCGCTAGTAGAGAATAAATAGCTAAACTAGCTATTAAATTATCATATTTGTTTATATAATTTATCATACCTAGTAGTATATCATCTCACTTTAAGCCTCGTAGATAAAAGAGCCTTTGTATAGTTAGGCTATGATCACGAGGTATATAGTATAGAAATCTTAAAATAATTCTGTGTTTCTGCGATTTTGATTCTGTTGTGAGCTGCGTAGTTTGATCTCTTTCGCTTAAGTGCGCTAAGACCCGCAATAGAATGATTAGCTGATTGGCTCCTGCTACGGGTTAAGGTTGTCATCTAATCCGTAAACTTAGCGTCTATGACTAGGACGGGGGTAGCTTAAAGAAAGCTTATGATTTAGTCGCTTGTGGCTTTCCCCGCGAAAGTCCCCTCTAAGTTCGGGCTAGATTTGAGTTCTCCTTGAAAAAAAAATCTCTGACGGACTTATGAATGAACTGAGCTGTTGGGTTCCTTCGGGACTTGTTGAGCTTAATAAGCCACTTTGAAGAGCTTAGGATGAACCTTCTCACGTCTGCATTTCCCCAACTTTGTCCGCGTTCCAGTCTGATGCTGCGATTAGATTAACACCAACAAGAATAGCCAGATATAGCTGTTCTATCCGTAACGGATGTTCAGAAAACAATACCCACTGGATGTATGAGAGAAGTTAAGCTTTATGGCGACTGTTGCGAGATAGGAACTCCTGCAAAAGATCGTTTAGGTCTCCGGGGATCTCTTCTAATCATTGTAATCGGCGTATCCTTGCTGCAGTTCCTAATACGAGGACAATATAGATGAAAATTCCCGACGCCTTTTCTATGATCTGTGTCCGGACTTACTGCGCAAGCGTGCGACCTTCGATTCTTAGCCTCCCATTGATATAGCTGACAATATCCTGTCCACGACGCTGTTGTTGTCCGAGATATAGGCTAAGTCCTTTCGAGATCGTAATGTGAGGGTCATGTCTACTGGAGAGTCAGACTCGGAATGACATATCCCTGGACACTGCCATTTCACCCACATCCCCGAAGAATGATATCATTTCCGGATCTGTGTTAACGCCCCACTCATCCAAGGCGTCAATGAAATAAGTCAATGGAGACTGCTCAAGATTTTGAACAGTGTGTCGAAAAAATGACTTAAGTGACTCGATGGACCACCGCGGAATATTGCCATATCGTGCAGTTCGTCCGAGAGAACTGAAGCCGGCTTGAAGTCGTGGTATTGTATCGAGCAGCTGGAGCAGCAGCGACCAATACATGCCGGTTGTGGACTTTTCAGGCTCATCCCGGCGGGCATTGAAGAAGAACGATATGAAGCTGCCTCCTTTCGTTTTTCGAGGTCGACTATCCTGCCCCTGGGTGCCCTTTGACCCACAGGAAACCATGATGTTCGGCGAGCGTTTCGGGCAATTCAAACCAGTCAAGATATTTGGGTGTTCTCGACAGCCATTCGCAGGTGTTTTCATATGCTATCTCGATAGTGTCATGTCAAACATCGATTTGATCAAAGGCTAAGGAATTCAGCAGCGCCTTTCTTTGGGCTGTATCAAGACATTCCTGTTGTTTACTAGATGCTGGATCGGGGGCAGGTTTTGAAAAAGCTGCATCGGAGTCCTCAATGCGGGGAGACTTGACATTTCCTTCTACGAAATAAGGAGAGTTGTTATTAAGTGGTTGCTTTGGCCTCCTGGGCACCTCATCCGCTATAAAATTCGCCACTGTAAGTCACTTGTACGCCATCTCCTTCGGGACGAGGCAGTTGTGATTTCTGCTCACCATTCTATATGACTTGACCCTCAATCCGCACAACGACTTTGGGCGAAGTTCGGGCCAATACGGCCTTGGCATAGGCAGCAGCCATAGCAGCGGCATACGGTTGCCACTGCTTATTCTTGTGTTCATCCCCGTAGTCGCAGACACCTCGAATGACACCGACGGGAATGCAGGTCATGATTCCAGCCGCCTCCATCCCAAGACCAATAATATTATACCTATCTCTGAGCTCATTACGCTTGCGAGCATTCTTCATGAGCTCATCCCCATAACCAATCGGTTCATACCATACACGGGTCCTGCTAGAATTCGTTCTTGGCTCCCGTGGCACTAGACGCTCGCTCTCTTTATTGTCGATCTGATAGAGTACATCGTGCTCTTGCCCAGGATCAGCGAATGAGCCGTGACGGTGTCATTTGCCACTGGACTGTTTATAGGAGGGCAGAAACAAATCGGCATCATCGGGAGCGTTCGTCACCGGGGCTTACGGGGAATCTGCTAGTGCTTGTCAAGCAGTAGTAGGGCGGCGCGTGCCTCAATCTGGAGCGGAGGGATCCATGCGATGGTGTATGCCTCTAGGTACAACAGGTTCATGGCTTCAAATGAGAAAAACTGGTGATGAGAAAGTGCGCGTCGACATGGCCCTCCCGAAAGATAATATATATATTGCAGGTTAATTCTAGTTAATTACTCATTTTTGTTAAGTAACATCTTACTTGTACTAACTAATTTAGGTATAAAATTAGGTCTATTATAGAGTTAGGCTGACAAGAGGGCTGTAATAAGTGACGCAGCTGGTGGCTGCAACGGAAAGTACCTGCCAAGACAGTGTTTTGACAAAGACGTTTGGTAATATAGAAGCGACATGCTTTTTTTTTCGCCAGTATCAATGGCATGGTGGTCATAATATATTTGGGTATAGGCCTCAAAAGCACATACTCTCGGGCTCTTGGCCAGATCGTTGAAGTGGCGGTGTTATGATGAGAGGGAGAAGAAAACCAACTCTTTTTGCTTTTTTCTCTTTCGTAATTTGCTTTTTTAGATACTGTTCATGGCCAGAGGGTTCATGCTTTCGTACTGGTCGGTCCGAGTCGCTGTTTCAAAGCCTAGCTGTGGAGATCGCGGAGATCGCGGAGATCGCGGGGA